ACAATTGAGACGTATTTCATCTAAAACGTGTAGTGTGTTTGTGGAACACATTTTAGACATTCTGATCACACACGTACCTGTCATATATATTTATATAGGGGACAGCAGAGCATAAAGGACCACAATCGCTGTCAATGTAGGTCAGAATGTTTACGGATCACTACCAAAGATAAGAGCTAGGAAAATTAGGTAAGAAACGGATTAAGGTAAAAACAGGGTGAAAATACTATTAAATAAAATGGATTACCAAAGCAGGTTTAGAGTAATGGCAAAAGAGCTAGTGATTCTATGTACTGGCAATCTCAAAATGACACTTGAGGGTAAGCATTTCAGCCAGATCAATAATGTTGTCACTGAAAGTCCCTTGGGTCATTGCTAGCTGGTATATATGAGTCGCAATTTGAGAACATAGCTGAGGACTTAATTGGTACGTGGATGAAATCATAGTTATTTGTGACAAACCAACAGGTGTCACAGAAATTCTTAACCAAATAAATGCACTACAAAGTATCATATCGTTAAAATGGAGACTGCTTACTATTTTCAAATGTACTCATAACTCGCCTCTAGGATGGGTCATTACAACGATGTCCTACAGGAAGCTCACCTGAACGGAACAATATCTGAATTATCATAATTTGTTCACTTTAGTTTAGTAAGGTGTTAGTGAGGTGCTTGCTCAGACGCATTCAACATATATGAACAGAGGATACTATTGAAGAAGAAATAGGATATTACACTAATATACTATTAGATGATAACTATCCCCTGAAGTTCATTAAACGCTACAGAGGAGTCAAACAAAGGGCCCCACCAATCAAATCATTCTCCAAAAAGGATGTTCATATATCTGACTTTGAAGGGTGATCATTAAAGTCTAATCCCTACACAAACGTTCAGAGGGGCATTCAACATAACCTGTTATGCAACCAAACTCTCTTCATGAGAAAACGAGATTTATGCTGCCCAGAAAACCCTATGTCTATCTGTCTGGTTTCAACATAGAACTTTGCACCGGTGTGCAGCAGTTCGAGTCGCCACACTTCACTCATCACACAAAGCAAGAGAAGAAAGTTGAAAGAAACGCAAAACAGAGACAGTAAACAGAGATATGAGGCAAAAAGAATAGTAATATCGAAGAACAAAATAGTTTTATTGGAAATTATACGTCACAAGGAGTGGATGCATCTGCGCCAACGATTGACAACGATTTTGAGCCAACCTTCATTGGTGTTTACCGTCTCGAGGACCCCAACCAGGAAGGCTACATCTTCCCACGTGACTGGCTTAAACTAACTGTTGTGGATTTCATTGACTGATGAGGCCATGTTTTGGTTTGACCACCACTAGCTCTCTCTTTTCCAACCTGATGCATCCTATGTCAGCTAGCATTGCCCGTCAGTCGAGGAAGGCGATCGATGGCTAGGCATGCGTAACACATGTCCTAACCATCTCAGTCGATGTAGCTTCACAACCTGGTCTATTGATTTCACCTCCTTACCTAGCACTCGACCGGCGCCTAACCTCAATACTGCTCACCCTATTATACCACTTCACATGGGAGATAGAACGCAGGCACCTATGATCAAAGACAGCTAGTCAACCTATTCATGTCTTCCACTTTCAATGGCCATGTCTCACTCACAGCCATAAAACAGGACAGAGCGAACTGCTGAGCAGCACACACGCCCTTTGGTCGACAGCCAGCCGGATATCACGTCTACGCCAGAGATGGCGTAAGTCGGAATATGGGAAACGAGCCTTCTGGATCTGTGCTGAGATTTCGTCAGCAATCAACCCTCCAGGGCTGGCTGATGCAACTCCCCAAATAAGTGGTGGTCAACACGCTCTACCACTTAACTCCCTATTTCTAATCTAGGAGTCAATGTAGTCCAGTCCTGTAGCCTCATCATCTTACATTTGGCAGGAGCGAATCGCATTCCTGTAAACCCTTACAGTATTTAAAGGAAAATGTCACACATCCCACTATGTTTTCCAATTTACATGTGTTGTCACACGTACATAGGGAGGACCCATAAATCTCTGCAGGTCAGGGCTACAGAACACATCCCAAAATGGCTGCAAGAACAAGTAAAGTAACCTGACTCAAACCCAGAAATAGACATCCAACGTCTTGTTTCCCAACCTCTTATCTTTGGTAGTGATCCGTAAACATTCTGACCTACATTGATAGCAATTGTGGTCCTTTATGCTCTGCTGTCTCCCAAATAGATACATATTACAAGTACGTGTGTGATCAGAATGTCTAAAATGTGTTCCACAAATACACTACACGTTTTAGATGAATTACGTCTCAATTGTTACTGTTTTGTTATTTTAATTATATTTTTTGACAACTTTAATTTCCTACCCTAATTTTGCCTTTGTTCACATTCTTGACCGAACCCTTTGGGATCTCTGTTCAACTGAATTGTGTGATCCTAACATAAGTGTGTTGTTAATCTCACGCCTCTATTCAATTTGTAAGATTCGTTCGTAATTCTAGAGTATTTCTTAATTATTTGTATATATACTGACGAGCTTAATATGCGAGTTATCTGTTTGCATGATGCTGACTAATCACGTGACATAACCAGTATATAATGTAGGAAATTTTACATTGATTCACGTGAAAGCTTAAAAAGTGAATTATATAAACAGATATCAGTCTTATAGAGTAAGATTATAAGCCAAACGATTCTAACAAAGGATGCATGACCGACTGACTGGAAACAACGTAGAACTTTGCACAGATGAGCAGCAGTTCGAGTTGCTACACTCCATGTATATCGAAGACTAGTTGATAAAAGCTGTTAACAAGACATTTTAAACAGAGTATTTAGTTGACGAGTTTTACCACAATTTGATGAGTTCATTAAATCATGCCCCATTAACATCTGTGGCATCTTAGGCTTGATTTTGGTAATAAATACCTTCCATTCCTTAACTAGACAACTTAATCGACTCTCTAGTTACTAGACAGATACCATTAAACGTGAAACAATTACTTAATGGTCCAACTTGCCTTTTATGCCTGTATATCAATTAAAAGGCAATAGGATAGATATTCAAACTAGTAAAAGCAGAAAGATATCAAATACAAAAGGCAAGAGAATGTAAGCGCAGGAATGTGATATTACGACCGAGACAGATCATAGGTTTACCGAAGGTTTGTAGATATATGCTTTAGGTAATACACCGACCTGTGGGTGGAATCCTATAATTCCTCTCACAGCTCAGACCAACAACATTACAAAATGACGATATTTCCTGATCTGAAAACTCTAAGCTTTATTACAACCTGGTTTGACTTCCAGGAAATTAATCCATCGTGGTAGGCAGTCGGATAGGTATAAATGACGCTTTCAAGCAAACCGAATCGCCCAACAATGTTCACGGCTTCACTAGTTACATAATGTCATGACTAAAGTTACATCAGACCGAACATACATGCATTTGGTAATACGATTGTGAAGATGTTTGTTGGAGCTAACACTAAATCCTGGCATGCTCGCCATGTTCTGTAATAGAACAACACAAACAATTATACAGGTCAAGCACGCAGGGTAGAGCGAAGAAGCAGAACACGACTTGAGGAAAAGCACTTTATAATTGACACTGAATTACACCAGCAGAAGTCCAAAAAATATATACATGTATATACAAAGAGCTAGGCTTTTACAGTTCAGCGTCCACCGGTTTTTGAACTGACGCTTCCTTTCAAATTTGAACCACTACAGATAGTATTATTAGGACTCACAATAAGCGCAGCTTACAATCCAGTCACGCAGGACATCTAAATAACCAATCTACCAAAGATACACAAATACAAAAACAAGCCAGGTGTTCTCCGAATAGACACTATATTCGTCTATACCAAGAAAACAACCTAGTTGGAACATGAGATTTACTAAACAGATATGTAGTTACAATGTTGGGTGGTTTGTTACCACGGAATGCTTCTAGATTACTCATGCTTCTAGCACTAAATGACGACCGAAGTACTTCTGCTTTACGTCACATAAACTTCATTTCACTTTCAGGTGCAACGATGTCTGAATTAAAAAGGAACGAAATACCTTTAAAGATAAAATGACGTGAACACAAGCAGTATTGCGGAGCTTCACTAATAGTCAAAATATTCAGCTTTACACGCAACTTATGTTCTGTACTAAGTCGGAATATGAATGTTATTAGTAAAGTTTAACACACTAAGAAAATTCAAACCTTATACTACTTTTGTGCTTATTCATCGAACTTACATGCCAATTATATTATAAGTCCTTAACAACGCAATCGTATTACTTTGCCTGATGTTGTGAAAACCTAGATCATTATTTGCAGGGAACTAAACAATTATTGAAGCATTATGACAGTAGCCGGAGATATAGATTACGGTTGGGAAACATGTTGACTGCTGCTAGCCTTTACAAAACTGGCCAACTTACGCAAGCCTTAGTTAGGCGAAGGATTTCACACAATATATGAATAAGTTGAAAGTGAAACTAATAATTCACGCATTTAGAATATCATAAATCATATAATTTTGTCCAACTAATGCAATTATGTGTAGCTGCCAGCATTGTGAGAAGACAACGAAAGTTTGGTATGATAGTTCAAATGCATCACAAATAAAAGCCGAAGGAATTACTTCCATCGGTTTTCATTGTGCACGTGAACATCACCACAGAAAAGTAACATGATACAAATAAACTGGAAGAATCTGACACATTACCAAGAAACTTAAACCCACTCACATAAGTTTATTCAGGATTCAGTACACCTGAAATTTTATGAAATCGACTAAAGGAGCGGAGTGCCTGACAGGTTCATCTTTACATAGATACTCATCTGCTTAATCTAGGCGCTATTCAGTTGGCAACCTACGTTCATTGCAACAAATAATGTTACAATGTATTCGTCTGATAAAAAATTGATTCAAATGAACTTTATATACGAGCAAGCAAATAAAATTATGTGTTTATAATTCTTGTTTTAAACCTTCATCTGGCGGCTCATTCGACGTCTTACGAAAATTGAGCAAATAATATCGTTGGCATTTTGAAAGACAGTCAATTTGGATTATCTATTTATAGTTGGCTCCCTATAAACATAAAATAAATTTTGTGCATATTTCGATTCCATTAGTCCTACAACCACGAATCTTTGCTCGTATCCTTGCTTGGATTTAATAATTTCTCCTGAATAGATTTTTGTACGAAGTAAGTCCAAATTATTTTGAAGTTTTAATTTTTGAATCTCGAGATTGTATAAGCTCTCGTGGTTTTGCGACAAAATTTATTTTACTCAAATGTCCTGTGCTCTTTGTGTTAACTATAATTAACACTCATTAATACATGTTCCCCATAAACAAAATTGCCCATCACTTGTCACTGTAGTATACTACTGACAGATTGTTTGGCTTTTTACATATGTTAGTGTATGTTGAGTGTGGACATGCACATTTCACTTTTCACTACCCTCGATTCGTTCTGCCACTGATGTGGCTCTTATAACTGGAACGCTGTCGTGTAACTAGGTTGTGTAATATGTGTCAGCAAAACATCCGTCTACTCGGAAAATCGCGTATATTCCGCACATAATATTCTATCTTCATAGTAATGAAACAACTGCTTCAATCAAGGTCTGAGACGTAACATTTAACTGCCATTATGTTTACTAGCCAAACCACTAATTGGTGTTCAGTTGCTCCATGGAACAAATGTGTTTCACCCATTGCAAAAAGCAAACTACTCAGGGGTGTTTTCAATAGATATTCGTAGTGCTAAACTGGGAAATATGAAGTAGTTTAGAAACACTTGGGAACAAATGACTATAAATTCATTTTGAAATTTCGTTACCAATCATTTGTTTTCATAGAGGTGAAACTTGGGAGTTCAACTATATTTGGTAATGGCGGTGAATGACTACGAGTATTATTCCTATGAATAGGTAACGTTATTTGTCAGCCGCTGTAGTCACAGTACTGAGTACTACGCTAATCATTGGATGTGTTTTCAAAGGCTTTGTATTCGTCATATCTCGTAAATTACACATTGCTGTTTCCCAGATCAGATGAACCAAAAAAGCGGTAAATCTAAGTGTTCCAAACCAACAGTCAGTGAATTCATAGCTTCATTCTGTTTTAGCCTGGTAACTCAAAGATCCTACTTTTCCTGTGGTTGAAATAATGATTCATGGCTTTATTAGGAGATTCAACTTAATTTATAACTTTGCTTACTATGTTTCTCCACATAGTGCAAGTAGTGGAATGATGACATGATTATGTCCTTTCATATCTTCTGTCGATACGTGGTTCATTAGCTAAAGCATTTCGCTTTCAGCCTGAGTCTCAGGTTGGAATACCGCTCAACCTACTATAACCTGTGAAACTGGGTAGTTTCACCAGCCCTAAAACAATAAGCGTGACTCAGTCTGTTACATGAAACACCTGCTCCAGGTAACTGGATTCATACAATCTTATACTCTTATTGATCATATCACTATAAAAAAGACTGATATACTGGGTAATTTGCGCCCAGAGTTATTTAAGGTCTCAAATGTCAAGTGGACACTTCTGTTGGAGGATTTTTAGTGTCATGCCTATGTAGGCTAGTGTAACTTCTGAAGTAGGTAAAGCGGTCGACACTGCTTTTAAAATTCTCGCCCGAAAAAATGTACCCTTTCTCAGGGAATCAGCCACACTTATTATAGTGTACTGTCAAGTTCATTGGTATTCGCAACTGGATAGGTGTGGAAAACAAGTAAATGAAAAAGGCCCAGTTTCTGACTTTTTGATGAAAACATAGGATCTCTATTAAATGAGGAAATGATTAAACAAATGGCTCAGTATCGCAAAACTCATCATGAAAGAGTCTGTCGTCATATATACTCTACTATGAAAAGGTTTGACTTGCTACAAAGGTTAACAATAACTAGTGTATTTCAGCAATTCCATCCTATGAGTCTTGTGTAACGAGGCTGATACCAAAATAAGGCAGAATAGGATAAGTTGTTTGAAAGTCTCAATCCTGACAGATGTTTGCGTTTTATCTCCCGTGTTAAGTGGTAAAATATGGTGAGTAATATTGAGGTTAGGTAAGTAGGATAAATTAGTTTATGAAATTGAGATAGCTGGGGCATGTAGTGTTAATACCGAGCCGTCGTCTTCCTCGATGAGCAATAATAGTTCACATGGGATCGTATTGGGAAACTGTTAGACATTGTGAAACCAAACCTGTCATCAGTCAGTAAAGTCTGACAGTTAGTGTGAGTCACGTAGAGAAGTGTAGACTGTCTTGTCGGGGTCCTCAGAATGCTAATTAACAATGGCTGGAGAATATTGGTGATATGGCTCTAAATCGTCTCAGATGGTGCAGATACATTCACTGTTTGATTTCCCAAATCCATTAAGCCCTGGTATTTTCCCATGTTACTATTCTTTTACTTGCATGCTTCTGTTCACTATATTACTTTTGAATCTCATTTCTCTACATTTGTGTGCTAAGTGGAATGTGGCAGCTTGAACTGCTGTACTTCTGTGCATATTTCTAAGTTGAAATTCAGTGAGTTGGTCTTCTCAATGACCCCAAATACAATTTGGAAGAGAAATGGAATTAGCAGAAATTAGTAGTGCTACTCATAACACATCACATTTTCTGTGCACTAAGTTGTAAGCTGCACACCATGTGCGAGCTGAAGATAATACCTAATTGTCCAGGTCTGGGAATGTTGGACGAAACCTGTGACTTGTTAGTTGAAGACTAATTGCTCAAGCCACTGAGCAGCATCTCCACAAAGCTCCTTAGGGAAACAGGTTCTAAGAAAGTGCAGCAATCTCCAAGGTGTATAAGGTCGTAATAGCTTTCAAGGGATAAGGCATAAAATCATTCTTTTATGGCATTATACCCTGCCATAGTACCCAAATCCTTTTTTATTTAAGTGGTGATTGCAATATACAGTAAAATATGTTAATATAAGGAAGGGTTAAGGTACTCTGAAGATCACGTAGGGCTCAAGACAAACCAGAGCGGCCTGCGGTCAGTACAAACTGCATTGGTCACCACTCTTAAACAAGTTCTGGGGGCCTGGTATTTGTTTTTTCAGATTAAAGCACCAATTTATGACTGAGGGACTGGGTCACATATGTAGGTGTAGACTATCTGTCTAGGCTTTTCATGATGCTAAGAATCAGTGTTTGGAGAGTAATTGACATGACTGAAAATTTTCGGCAATGGCACAGATGTATCCACCTTTTGTTATCATCCAGATTCTGAAACCTCACCAATTTACAGTCAATCATCCTACATCCCCTTACATCTCCCTCTGTTGTAGTTCCATTACATTTCTGTTCTCCGCTTCTTTGTGCTTTTCTTAAGTGTGACAATATACAAATTTCCTACTTGATAAGTCAGTCAGTCAGAGCTGTACTTCGAAAATGCTTCAGTTTTACCTGAGATTGTTCAGAAGAATTAATTTTAATTGAAAACATGCCAGTTTTTTAAGGTCGAAGTTAAACAGGATCGTATCCATCGGTACGTTTACATTGAAGTAAGTAGGAACGGTGGTATTTGACATCGCTGAACATCGGTGTTTGTCTTCAGTTCAAATAACAACTCACCATAGACTTTCATGCTTAAACCAAGTTTCTTGAATGAGCTTATTAAACTACCGAGAACTGTAAACCGCTTGCACATGAAACCTAACGCTTTTAGCGCCACAGCCAACTATTTCTTTCAAATTTATGTACTGGTTTATTAGCCGTATTTGATATGACGCTCTATGATACCAACTACTTGTCCAAGTCGAAAGCCTGTTCCATAATGGATAAGAATTTATTTTTAAATCACACAGTGTAGTACAGTTATATTAACGTATCAGTTAATATAACTGTACTACACTGTGTGATTTAAAAATAAATTCTTATCCATTATGGAATTATACTCTACCACAGTGCCCAAGTTTTATACTTATATCGAAAGCCTGTTCGTTGAAAGTTGAATACTTGAGTAAACCAGCCACATTTCTAGTCAGTAAAACTTCTAACCAACTTCTACCTATCTTAATAGGAACCCACTAAAATAATTCTAAATACTCTCTCCATGTCCTGGTATTTCTCCATTCAAATTCACTAAAGGACATTACCGAATGAAAATTCCTAGTACATCAATTGCCGTCTAAAATTTTCACTAAAGATCATTAAAGGCACATCTTGTAGTTAATTATTTAATTCTTTCAAACCCATAGATTACAAGTTTCATGAAAGTGACAACCCGTTTTACCCAGTTCTATCAATGTGTCATCGTCTCACATGTTAATAGACAGAATCGTCAGCTAACATTTTAAACTCGAACACAATGAATTGTGTAAGTTCTCTTTGAAAGATACTTTTAAACTTGCTGATGTCAATATAAAGGGTGCGAAAATGTACTTTTTTGATTTTGGCTTTTTGTTTTCAATTTAACTTTAATTAAGACTTTTAACCGACTGACTCAACCTCAGTATAGAAATATGCACAGAAGTTCAGCAGTTCAAGCTGCCACATTCCACTTAGCACACAAATGTAAAGAAATGACATTCAAAAGTAATATAGTGAACAGAAGCATGCAGGTAAAAGATTAGTAACATGGGAAAATACCAGGGCTTAATGGATTTGGGAAATCACAAACAGTGAATGTATCTGCACCATCTGAGATGATTTAGAGCCATATCACCAATATTCTCCAGCCATTGTTAATTAGCATTCTGAGGACCCCGACAAGACAGTCTACACTTCTCTACGTGACTCACACTAACTGTCAAAGACTTTACTGACTGATGACAGGTTTTGGTTTCACAACGTCTAACCGTTTCCCAATACGATCCCATGTGAACTATTATTGTTCGTCGAGGAAGACGATGGCTCGGTATTCACACTACACGTCCTAGCCATCTCAATCGATACAGCATCACAGCCTCTTGGAATGACTTGCCCTTCTTATCTGACACTGTATTCCTAATCGCAACATTGCTCACTATAATATACCATTAAATAAGGAGGTAAGAAGTAAACACTTACGGCTAAAGACAGTCCTTTTGTCTCTTCCGCTTTCAGTGGTGATGTCCCACAGCTATGAGGGGGGGGACAGCTTCGATGTACACACCCCTTGGTCGATAGCGGAAATCACGTATACTACATAGATGATGTAGGTTGGCAAATACCGCACGAGATTTTGTCAACAATCACCTCATTGTCTAATGCAATTCCCAACATAAGTGAAATGGTCAACATGCTCTATCACTTTACTCCCTATCTTTAAACGAAGCGTTGGTGTAGTCCAGCCCTGTAGCATCATCTTATATTTGATAGGAGCGAATTGCATACCAAAGAAACACCCAAAGATTTCTGCTGAATGTGTTCAACGTCTTAATCAGGGAGAAAAACATCGTCTCATACAGTCGATGAGACTGTACCCTGGTAACAAGTCAATTCCATTAAAACATCTGTGATAAAATAAACTAAAGTGGGGCAGTAAACATCCCTAACGGATACCACTGGTTGTCATCACTCCAGATGACAACTCTGTAAGCTTTTACACGGTGAAATATACTTCCCTTCATGGCCAAGTATTTGCACAGAACCTCTCAGTCGACAGAGTAGAATGCTTCCTTCAAGTCAAGAAATATAACAAGTGTTGAACACCGGTAAGTATGTCATTGTCCCAGGATCTGTTGAAGGGCGAAGATGTGTTCAATACTCCCTCCTCCTGGCCTAAAATCTGCCTGGTTTTCTCGCATTTGTTTCTCCTGAGCACCACTTAGTGTGCACATGTTTATGAAGCCTCTAACTTTAGGTACCACATTAGTCAAGCCTAAGACTGTTGGAAGTTACGTGATAGTGCCTTGATATAACTATAAGCAATAAATTGTGCTTGAAACGTCATCAGTAAATAATACTGTATCACTGTTTTTTTCAAATAAAATTATCCTTTGATAGAGTTATATTCTATCATAATACCTAGATTCTATTCATATATCAATGGAACCCAGCCAATTTGAAGTAGGCGATGAAGGGATGTTGACGTTTACACAAACTACGATGTATACAAACGCAAGTTCTTATCCTCCAACTTCTATATTACTTGTTCTGCTTAGACCGAAGACAATTCAAAACACCAAATCGATCGCCCAAAATACGAGACATATTTCGGGATCAAGATCGTCGTACGATAATGGTTGCTTAAGCAGCTAGGGATCGTGCACGAACGACTGAATGTAACACGACATTGTGCCGAATAGCATAGATGCTTGACCGCGAGCCTTCAGCCTTACGAGGCGGCTTAAACAGTGTAGTTCAGCACTCAATGTCAAGTGGAGAATACTGTGAACTAATAATTTTGGAGAATTGTTTACCACTACAAGCTTTATCTTGCACCGTTTATTCGGACGAAAAAGTAAATATTGATGCATCGATACTTGGATTTTATAATAGATAAAGACAAAGTAAACCAATAAGACCACTTAATAGTTTCCCTATTATGCATACCGCTTGATAGATAAACAACAGCAGAGCACAAAAATGGACAGGTTTGAGCTCGTAAATCTTAGCAATAAACGAGGTTTGTACGATGATGACAAAGTCTTTTACTTATGCGACATTAATAAACTGAAAATATTCGATTATCATGATGACATTGCTCTAGTCACAATGCATAAGCGTCTCTATAGATGCTCAGTAAACAGAGTCGATTTCATTAATGCAATAGCGATACCTTACATAAAAGTGGAAACATATATAGACATCAAAACAGTGCTTTAAAGGAATTTATTTATAGTGTCACCGAAATAAAATATTTTTCAAATGAAGCGAAAATTAAATGTCCAAATTAGTTTCTTAAGTGCATTACATTATTCCTTTCGAAACTTATCTTGAAATATATTTTATTTAGCAAATGTATGATTTCTCCCATCAAATCGCCAAAATCGTGAATCTGGTGCATCAACTTGTATAGGATGAGCCTGAGGTCTGTGTGGTTGATTTTTACCAAACGCTCCGTATAAATCAGCCATTGCAACAATATTGTGCGGAGTACTTAGCGTTGAATATCGTGTTGCGTCCCCAGTGCTTGGTATATATGCATTCACATCATTCCTTTTAGGTGCAGTCCCCCCGTAAACAGAGAAATATGTAGTTGACGGTAACGGTTGGTGAGTGAAAAATGTTTTAGCTCCAACGTATCCATGCCAATATTTCGGTTCAAAAACTACATCTTCTAATGTTTCTTTGAGTAGTTTTACTGGTGGAATATTGTAATGAAGTGAACCCTTTTTAGGATAGTCTTCCGGAAATGCAGAGTAGTGTTGCCATCCATTTGGATTTCTCACCGTCCAGTCAAGACTCATGATAGTAAAATGATTATCTAGAGATAAACGTTTATCGATTAACTTTTCTTTTCAAAATGCAATCGAATCGATCTCATCATTCTGTATTGGCTTGTAAATTGTTAGATAACTAATTTATGCTACTCTATTGCTAGAAGACAAAAAGACTGAGAAAAGAATATTCTTCTCGATAACTTAATCAAGTTATTCATACATAATAGTAATAATTATAAGATGCAGAGCCCTTAATTTCGGTTAGACCCTAGGTGGTAACTAGTGTCATGCCTCTAGTCCTATACTCGGTGCAGACTGAAAATTTTATAAAGCTGTACTATTTTCTTAAATCCTTTATTGAATCTTGATGTAGGACCAGAATTTCGACAGTCTTTCCATCTTAACTTGCTTAGTAATACTGTTTTATTTTACAACTTGTGCAATTGTTCTTACGATAAATATAATTACTCCACCACTTTCTTGTTTCTACTTTTTAGGAAATGTTTAGCATATGATTGGCAAATTATCACACTGTCTGTCAGCTGATTCTACCGGCAGTAGTTGCTACAATTCATTCTTGAAGTTCAGTTGTACTTAGATAAAGTACTTTCTGCCATTGGCGTTCATTTCGTTCCATCTGTGAAGAACTGCATGGAGCTGATGCATTTGCTATGCGTTCTTTTTCTGCGCCAACAGCAATCCCAAGCTCATGCTTACCCCAATATCAAGTTCAAAATAGTTTTTCTCAACAAAACCAAGCCTTTTTAAACTCTATGGCTCAACCGACATTTAGCTTAATGCCAGCGGTTTCTTACTCTACCATTCCACTAGGCACATCCCCAACATCGACAAATGCTATGCTTGGATCTAATATGATACAGTCACAACAACCTGTAATATTTTCAGCGTAAGTTTTAACCTAGTTTAGAATTCAGAGTAGATTTACCATGACATTTTATCGCATAACGTGAAATGAACCAATGTTACCTATTCCTTAGGCTAAGAATGTACTAACTTCTGTTATAGTTTGTGTCTAAAGATATGTTTCATTGACCCTTTTGGACAGGATACGCGTTGAACGACCGATGTACCTGGCTCCACAACAACAAGTGAACTGATATATGCACATAAAAGTGGCCAGATGCGAAATGTTGTCCTTAAGGCTTCTGCGGATCAATGGACGACTGGAGAACACTACTCTTAGCGTTCCTGCGAAGAATATTCTTCTCAAAGATGCTGACGTTCTTCTCTTGAGGATATCGCAAGCTAAGTCTCCCTTGAAATCCTGATTCATGTAAAGTATCTTTTTTGAAACAAGTGATGTTTCGTTCCTCTGGACCTTTGGTTTGATATTCTTGTCGATGAATCTTGGTGGGTATCCATTTTGGATGAAGGATTCTTTCAGAAGACCCAGTTCTGCTTCCAGGGCGTCAGGACTGCAGATGCGTCTGTTCCGAGTGGTAAGGGATTTAATCAGATTTCGTTTCCACCCAAAAGTTACTCAACTGTAGAAACTTGTTAGTTGATCGTTCCATAGAAAACCCACTTGGAATAGTGGGGGAAGTGAGGTAGGATAAATTCATCAACTACCCTTCAAACCTCCTCAGCTATCTATAGAATCTTTCATTGAGTTTCTCATTCACTAAATATATCACTTTAAAATTTCCTAAATTTTCCCCGTGTTTTTGGTTTTTCCATGCCAAACTCAAACAGGGCTCCAGGAAACTATTTCCTTGCTCAGTCTGCTCCGCTTGGTGCTCCAGTTGTAGGCGCTCCATCATTTGTTTTCGCTCCAGGTCAACCAAATCAGAATGCTTTTGTAGTTGCTCACCCACTATCCCAAGCACCAATTGCAGGGCATATGGCTGCTCATCCAAATCCAGCAAACTGTGTTATCCGTCTACCCGATGGCCGATTTGTTTTACCTGCTACTGCTCCTAATAACTTAAATTTACAACCATCATTAACTCGTATTTGTGGCCCCCAGTCCAACTACTTCCCTGTAAGTGTATCCGCGCCTACTAGTGTAAATTCATCGACGATATCTTCACTGAATCCTCAAGTCGCTCAACCTCCAGGTCAAGTAAGTTTTTTAAAGTAAATCTTACAGATCTTTTAATATTAACTTGTACAATTTTATTTATTTTTTTCGATTGTAAACTGATAATCTGTTGACAATCATCCTCTATTGTTCGAAATTCATTTCTCCTGTACTAGGCTTAAACCATGCTTGTGTGAGAGTTGATTATACTACTCAGTTGCCCTGGCTGTGTTGGTGAGATCTTAAGCCAGATTTCCATTCACATTCTCGATTGATAAGTTCGAGGTTAATGTTTTTCTCCTCATCCCGCCACATACATGATGTGTTATAAAAATACTTCACTGTCGAAATTCAAAATTACATTATATCTGGAAAACACTATCTTATCAATTCGGATATATGCATAACTAAAACTATCAGTCTTTCATGTTACCTAGTTCTACTTTGTGTTTTTTAAGTTTATTTTATTTATTTATTATTTATTTTGGAAGAAATCAGCCTCGTTAAATACGCTGGTAATCTGGCTTTCCCCTTTGCCAGTTACGTCCCGATCTGACTATTCCAAAATGAATAGCTGTTTGTCGGACATCAGCCAGTGGTCTAAGCTAAATGGTCTTATGTTAAATCCCTCCACATGTCAGATAGTTAACTTCACCTCCAGACATAAGTGTGACTTACACGAACTTGTTCATTCACACATCAAGTCAAGCATTAAATACCTTGGAGTAGTTCCTTCCTCTGACCTTTCTTAATCATGTGCGTCTGTGGCACAGCGGTTAGGACTCTCGCCGACCATGCACATGGTCCGGGGTTCAACCCCCTGCCGATGCACACCTGATATCTATGGTCGCCCTGCAAAATTTGGGCTACCGATATCACATGCTGAAAATTCCATAATTGTACCAAAAATACTGTATGGTTTCAAGCTATAATCAAAATCAAAAAATCTTGTTGATTTCTAAGAAAATATTCTGTCTAACTTACAGCATTACGAAGTTATGACAATCAGGTAGGTTACCAAAGTTATACACCTCTGGGGAATCTTTTCACATACTATAGCTTTCATAAGACTCACTTCTGTAATCAGCCTAGATGTTTATGCGGACATGACTTAGAGATGATATTTTCTCATCCCTTTTACTTTCATCATCCACCACTTTTCTCTATAGTTGGAGGCAGTTTGCATTTACACAGCTTTGCTTTCCTCGTCTCGTTTCATCCACCAGTGTGGATAAGCCTTCAAAACTCTACTGGATTCTAACATCTTTTAGCGGTGTGTTATCGAATATCATTACCAATGTTTTTAAAACAGGTTGAATACGGTGCTAGGGTGTCTTCATTGCAATTTGCCAGTTGGATCGCCACGTCAAAGTAGTAGCTATTGGTCGGTCTGAGTACTAATCGTTTTCATGCTGTTGAAAGCGAAGAAGAAAAATCTTGGTTCGTATAATCATTCACTTTTGCTATGTTGAATACACACTGTATTTAATTTCCAACTTCTGCATTCTGTTTTAGGCATTCTATATTCATATGCCAACTAGCTGTGTAAGTGTTGGTAATACAGTCTTCACTACCTCCCAACCGAATTGTGGTGCTAATTTTCAAACTCAACCAATGTCAACAATGAAACCAGGATGTCAAGTTTCTTTTCCTAACTCACAAATGAATACCTTATGCGGTCAATCATCCGGTACCTTGCTGACAACTGTTCCTGGATCAAATCAACAACCTCAACTGGGCACCAGACCACTTGCTACTAACATGAATACTGTTGGTTCTAGTTTAATGAATAGACCTGGATTGATTTTCCCCACCGGCTGTAATCCTACCACTCCAGTAATGGATGCATATGCTGCACAAGTAAGGAGAATTTTCTCAACTTCATATTTGAATAGGACTATTAGATGTATTCTAAAAGTAACTACAATACTTTCATTTGTATATAACCATTTATTGTGACTGACTGGTTTCAGCATAAAACTTTTGCACAGGAGTGCAACAGTTTGAGTGTCGCCACACTTCATTTAGCACACAAAGGAAGACAAGAGAGAGAAAAGAGATTTGAAAGAATGAGAATGTGAGAGGGAAAGAATACTTACATGGGAAATCACAAAGAGTGAATGCATATGTGCCATTGAGAACGATTTTGAGCCATTTCTCCAATTTTTTTATTCCTTTACGTTCCCAGTGGAACATAGGGCTTCAAGCTAGAAGCTTGAAGTTTCTGTAGCAATGGTGATTATTTTTACAGGATGGGGTTGCTAGCCTCATGCTCAACCTTCCCTCTTTACCAGTTTTATTGGCTGTTTAGCGAGGTGAAGGAGTGCGTCGGCCGGGGAACGAACCCCGGACCACCTGCGTGGTCGGCGAGCACTCTACCACTGTGTCACCGACGCACAAGTCTCCAGTTATTGGATCTCAGCAACCTGAGGACCCCAACTAAGACAGTTTTCACCTCCATAAGTGGCTCAAACTGACTGTTAAGGATTTCATGGACTAATAGCATGTTTTGGTTTGACCACCACTAGCTCTTTTCCAACCCAACCCTATGTCAGCTAATATTGCCCGTTGAAGAAGGTGATGGCTAGGCATGCATAACACATATCCTGGCCATCTCAATCGATTCACCTTCACAACCTCATCGATTGACTTCCCCTCCTTACCTAATAGTGTATGCCCAACCTTAATATTACTACCTAACATGGGAGATAGAACGCTGGCACCTACTATCAAAGACAGTTAGCCTTTTAATGCATTTCACTTTCAATGACCATGTCTCAGCCATAAAGGAGGACAGAGCTAACTGCTGAGCAGTACATATGTCCTTTGATCGATAGCTAGATATTAAGTCTACACCAGAGATGGCGTAAGTTGTAAATTTTACCTGACTCTTACCTGCAACAATATCAAACTTGATGTCCTGTCATACTTGACCGTTTTATTGCAAGCCCCAGTGATAACGCCTATCTATCTAAACGTCGACAGGCATAGTGGAATCCTCAAGCCAATAGGTTGTAAGCTTACATAGATTACAACGCAATAGAAATAAATAATGCAAGTATTTCAGAAGACAGAACATGGTCACTTTTCAGTAGTGTTCCTTTCTATTCTACAATTAGTTCTATCTGTTATACAACGCTAATGTTATCAATCTCACCACTATCGCGTTATTCAGGACACTACTGATCTCCTCGGTAGATATGTAGGATGTTCATATAGTAGCTAGTAATGCAGCTTTCTTGCTGTAAACGTTAAGCATAAACAGCTACTTTGCTTACTATTAAGCGATAGACTCGTGTACATGGAATTTGTGTACCTTGATTGAACACTGGGCAGTAAGTAACTAGTATCATGCGTCTGGTCCTTAGTTTGGTATAGATTGAATCTTACCAATCAAGTTTGCGATGTGGCCACTATCTTGGGTGACGACTTGCCATCACGGTGCATCCTAAATTGTTGTTATTAGATGGTTGCAAGCAGTCGGTAAGAAGCCTTGAACCTAGGTTTCATGCTTGTCTGCACTGGTCAGCAAGGCGTATCTGCAACTTTGAAGGAACTTATGTCCCTTCTGAGATTCGAACCCGTATCACCCAGTGCTGCAGTCACAGACGTTACCACTTAGCTATTGGGCTCTCGATTGACCTGGAGGACTCTATTAGATACTTTGATTGAACCTTAGGTAGTAAGTAAATAGTGTCATGCGTTGATATAAGAATAAAACTTGGGCACTGTGGTAGAGTATAATTCCATTATGGGTAAATTTTATTTTGATAGAGTCTCACAGTGTGCTCGAAACGTCATCAGTAAATATTACTGTATAACACTGTGAGACTCTATCAAAATAAAATTTACCCATAATGGAAGTGTCATGCGTGTCTAATTTTTTATTTGATGCTGATAATCGCCAACAAGCACGAAACCTAGGTCTAAGGCTTTCTGGCGATCGCATTCAACCACCTAATGGAATTTGCGTACTGATATTATTTTTAATTCGAAGATCTGTATCTAAAGAGCAATAAACGGATGGAAAACTGTAATCGTAATCATATTCGTTGTTAACTTTGACCATAGGATAAGTTGTATGTTTAAAATTGTCGGTTTTTGTCACTCTTGATCTAGGGAATTAAAACTTGCCAAGGATGATTAAAGTGCATTGCTTTCATTTCTGTCATTCCCTAGAATCAACAGAAACTCGCTGTCTGCACAAATCCATCACAGTTTACAAGTCTTCAAGCTTTGCCCAGTGGAATGGCTGTTGCTCGCTTACCAAATGGAACCTATGCTACAGTATCTCTTAGTTCTGCTGGAATGTCAGGATCAACACCGATTTTTGTAAACAATACTCCTATTCCATCCACCTTAGCAAATCCTGTCGATACATCAAATATTCCCCGGCGTAATACTCCTACATCTCGTTCAAAACAAAAAATAAATAACACTCCACCCGCCGATACAGATGTCCTACGTCGTTTAGATGATCAAATCACTGCATTACAGCGTCTACCTGCTCCTACAGAAATGCAGCTCAATAGATTAAAGCAACTTGTTGAAGTTAGGCAGCAGTTAACAAAAGTATCTAATATGTCTTCTGCTAACTCATCAAATATCTTGGCGCCGCGTAGCTCAACAACATCTAGTACTGCTACAAATACTGCTCCTCGTCAAAATTCAAGCTCCACTTCTGTTCAGTTGACACCGACTGTGGTAAGTTTTCAAACACATACTTCTCAATTATTAATAGCTTCCTCAGTATTATCGTTATTCTTAAACTTCGTTAACGTATTTTCATCGATAGTTGGAAATTATCTATAAACGATTGGGCCTTTATAACATTGTACACTTTTGGACATATATAAAAGCTTTCAAATTGCTGTCGGTCTCCGTGAAAGCCTTCATGACAAATCAAAGCAATTCACTCTTGTACAACCTTCTACGATGATAGTTCATTTCTTGAAAACATTATGTCCAAGTGTCTGAGCACTCTTCACGTGATTAACACAAGTCGATTCCTAGATGTATACAAGATCATCTTCATTTGCAATTTGTAAACTTCATTTTTCTAAGTTATCGTAGGTTATTAAATTCTGCTGGTTACTGGTGACAGTATTTATTTATCAAACCCTTTGCTTCGAAGACAGGACTTTAAGTGAACGTCGAGAAGACGGAGGTGATGAAGACAACCAACCAACAACCAATGATAACAAGCACTAATCACTATAAACGGGAGAAACTTGAAAAAAAGTTACTTCCTTCACTTATCTGACTAGGAAGCATCGTTTCAACCACAGGCGGAATGGATCAAGATATCAAAGTCAGACAGCAACACAGACCTTCATCACTCTGAAATCAGTTTGGAAATCTTCTGCACTCCGTGGCATAAAGAATTTAGATTCGGATTTTCAACACAAATGTTAAGTCAGTCACTGCTTCTAAATGGGTAAGAAACTTGACTCACGCGTCACGAGAGAAGCATTTCCAACCGACCACTGCAGACTTTTATCAACAACTGTCTTCGCTGACTCCATACTGCAGATGAAATGGCCAGCTAGAAGGAATTAGCAACAAGAAACTCAGGAAACTAACCAACGAAGAATCTGTCTGTCAACAAATATGCCAAAGAAAATAGAGATGAATTGGATGCATGCTGAGGAGGTCGAATGAAATCGAGCGCCAGGTTGTAGAGTGAAACCCGAATGGAAAACGATGAGTGGGGCGTGGCTCCGAAGCTGACATTGAGGAGATGAGTGACCAGTTAAAGTGGACCACAGAGAATCGGATAAAGTGGATATGTGCTGTTGAAGCCCTATGTTCCACTCGTAACCCAAGGGAACAATAGTAATAATAATCTTCTGTTTGACCCAAGTAGATTTCACTAAGAACTGATATCAGTTATAGTCGTCGTTGTAAAGTATCAGTCTCTGATCATTAATGTGCAATGAACTTCATTCCCTTTATTGCAGAACGTAATTTATGATCTACATTATGTTTTTAGTTTGCTGTTGTTATTCTCTCCAAATTTATTGACTTTAATGCGATCAACATTTTTCAGTTAACTGGAGTTTATATATATATTTGTAATTCTACTTTCTATATTTTATTTCAGCGTCGAGAAGTCCTGGATTTACTCACACAATATAATTTGGTACCGCGACCTCCTGTGGCTAACAATAATGAAGAAACCTTCATAGTAGAATTTCGACTGAATCAACAAAGATATCAGCTTAGGCTTACTCGTGCACAAAAAGCTGATATGGAACGTTTACTTTTCAATATTACATCACAACGACAAGCTGAAGTTTTAACGTTTTTCCAACAAGAACAAAGTCGTTTGCTTGCATCAACACCAAGAGCTAGATTACCGCCTCCTCCTGTTAGTCAGAGTAGTAATACAACAGCAGCTGTGGCTTCACCTCCAACAGTTGGGTTCGGTATTGCTTCTCAAGCTTTGAGATTACCAACCGGAATTCAAACATTTGCAGCAGCTCCTTCCCTGCCAATGCCTACTTTTCCAGGTGCATCTGGCTTAAGACTTGTTGCAGCACGTCCTGTTGTACCGCCAAATGCTATACCAGGGTCTGCTGTTCGGCCAAGTGTCCCTCCAATATGCTCTTCAACACCCGTCATGGGAGTTGTTGCAGCTTTAGCTGTACCACCTCCTATGGGAACCTGTGTCAGCAGTTCAAGTGAGTAATTATTTTTTTATAGCAACAATACTTTTGTGCTATTATCAGTGGTATTTTTTTAATACTGGTGTATTTTAGAATGGATGTTAACAAATTCTCCACGTCCTAGTTTGGGACTCATCGGAAGTACGAAACCACTGGGGTTCAAACCCAGGACCTTCCAGTTACAAGGCGAGCTCGTAAACAATTCAGCCACTGGGACCTGACTCAATGGCTAGCCCATGAATTCGAGTCCCTACCGATACGCGGTTTTGGCGCGACTGGCAACAGTCGGTCATCGGTGAGTATTTGTTCTCACTTCCGACCTGGTGGACTCCATTAGTCACGACTTTTCATTATAATTCCAGGCAACTTCGTCCTGCAGCCAGTCACTAGCGAGCATCAGATTAATTTTTAAGTTTCTTTATATGGATTTGATTCTTTTCAAATTTCATCACTAATTGATATCAGTTAGGGGACCATTGAAAACCAACAGAGAGTGCTGAACAGCTATTTCGTCCTAGTTTAGGACTCATCGGTAGTACACACCCACCGGGTTTACGAAACTGTAAAATATTTTATATGAATGACAAACAACGTTTTTCTGCTTCTCCTCTTCACGACAAATTATTGTATATAGTGAAGATTTTCTGTATTTCTACCGTTTGGCTTTAGGTCACCTTGTCAATCAAGCTTTGGAAACTAGAGTAAAATCCTCTAATTTGAGTCGCTGTAGATGCTTTCGTTACTGCAGTTGGATTGTTGAATGTTAGAGGTGTACATCTCTGTGGTGTAAGCATTTATACGATTTTGACCAATCAGCTGCACTCAAAAAGTCATCCACTCATCAGTCTTGTATCCCTGTGTGTTATATCATATCGACTTGGACAGTGAGAAACTGCCCTCATGTCCAACTTGGTTGACCCTACGGATCATGCTTTTTAATTAAAACTTCGAGGAATCTTAACAGACAGAAGACCAGTAGTTCAGAAAAGTGTCTTTTCAGTGGCGAATTCATTCACTCAACTGTACAATCGCAAATATATATGGTTGTTGTGTGTGTGTACATTAAATTGTCAAACGAAAATACATTCAGTAAGTTTTTGGTGGAGTTCCGTAATACAAAAGGCGTTCAGATGAATAAGAGGGTAGTAACAAAAGTGATGAGTTGTCACAAACGATTGTTAAAGAAGAGTTACATAAGATAATTTATATGAACCTTGACTTCAAAGGTGATCTACTCAGTGATGTCCTTAGGAGGAGAATTTCCACTTCTTTAAGAAGAACATTCTTCGTGGCAACATTGAGAGTAGTGTTCTCCAGTCACCCGCTGACCTGCACAAGCCCAAAGGACAAGATCTCGCGCCTGACCACTTCTTTGTGTATATATCAGTTCACCTGTTGCTGTGGAGCCAGGCACATCGGTCGTTCGACGTGAATCCTGTCAAAAAGGGTCAAAGAACACTATCCAGCGTGGCTTCAGAAAGATAGTAGTGGCCGTATAAAGAGTGCTATAATCGAACATCTCATCAACAGTGGTCATTCCATCTCAACAAACGCCTTCTTCAAAGTAATCTACAAAGTGAAGAACAACCTTCCAAAGACAATACGTTTCCGTCTTCTTTGCATTGCAGAAGCCCCAGCCATTCAGTTAAAAGAACCAGAACTATGCATACAAAAGAAAATTATTCAACTACTTCTACTATCATGGTAACAACTCTGTTGATTTGACTTAACTTTTGCTTGTATGCTTATTTTTCTAATTACTTAAAACTCTTATGTAATTCCATATGTTATTTTGTTTCCACGTACACCCTGAGCACTAGTCTTTCATCAAACTGTTCATATTATTACGTAACTCTTCTTTAACAATCGTTTGTGACAACTCATCACTTTTGTTACTACCCTCTTATTCATCTGAACGCCTTTTGTATTACGGAACTCCACCAAAAACTTACTGAATGTATTTTCGTTTGACAAATTTAATGTACACACACACACAACAACAACAACCATATATATTTGCGATTGTACAGCTAATTGAATTAAATTCGCCTCTGAAAAGAGACTGTTCGCTGAACTACCGGTCTTGTTTATTAATGTTCAAAGAATCCATCTAGGATCTAATCACTATCCAACGGTATTAGATAGTTGTTGAATCATATCACGAATAAGAGGAAGTTATAAAGTATGTTCGATTTGATCCAGATTAAGTAACTGTTTAACAAAGAAACTTACCTGGTAGCTTGATGGTCCTTCATGAGTCATGATTGTGAAGCGGGAAATAGGGTGGAACAGCTGTCTTTACTGTCTCTTCTAGCTGTATATTGACTCGTCAGTCAATTAATCTAGCTCCAAATCAGTGGAATCTCTGCAAACCTAATTACGAATAAGCAGACTTTCGAAGTAGAGATGTGTTGTACGCTATCGCGAAGAGCTTTTTCTTCAAATGACATGCATTTATTAACAGTAAAATATGTGCGTCTGGTGTACATCTGTGTCGCTTTTCTAAAGAATTATATAACAATCCTTTTGATTAATGAGCAATGTAATTCTTCATTTCTCTTCAGTGTTCGCACCGGCATTGGCATTAAACTCCACAGCATTAAGTATTCCTACAGTTTCATCTAGTCTTTCAATGCCTTCAACAGTTATGTCTAATACAAATGTTACTAGTGGACTAATTACAGCAATACCTGTAACTTCCTTCAATTCAAGTGTAAGTGGAGCACAGAATTTTGTCCTATCAACCAATTCTGTTGCAGTCAATTCTACATCCAGTAGTACAATGTTAACTCCAGATACAAATGGATTTGCTATACAATCTCTACCGCAATCAACCTCTTTCACTTTATCATCTGATTCTAGTAATTTTGTTAACTCAATTCGACCAGTTGCTTTAAATCTTCAACAGGTAATGAGACTATATTATGTTATTTAGTATATTGATTTTTTTATTTTTGAAGGGTTTTACATGTTCATATTTTTCTATCCAACTGTTGATTTTTTGTTTGGTCTTCATACACGAATCCCCTGACTTCGGTCTAAACAACTGGTATTTTATAGTCCCTTATAGGACTAAGTTTGGGTCACAAATTAATACCTAAAGTTATGCTGGGTCGAATACTTCGGTTAAGAATAATAGATGGTTTTGTTTGTTATTCATTGGCCGACTTAATCCAATTTCAGAGGCTGAACAAATTTTGAAGATCAGTTATTATCACCAGTGTATAAGACTAACATGCTCTTGTCCACGCCAAGTAAAATCCTAAGACGGGTTATGCTGACGAGAATAAAAGATGCACTGAATGTGGGGTTCCGCCGCACTGGAACAAGCTGGATTCAAGGAAGGCAAATCATGTGCTGATCGAATTGCGACGCTACGCATCATCATCATCGAACAAAGCATAGAATGTCAGTCAAACCTGTACCTTAGCTTCATCGACTTCGGGGCAGGCGTTCGACAGACAGCGTTGGCAGAAAATTAATTTGGAAACTGCTTCAACACTACGGCGTGGAGTGCTGGCTATATGACAATGCCACACACAGGATGTAAAACTCAGCGAGGCGTTTAAAGTGAATACAAGAGTAAGACAAGGCTGGCTGTCTATTACCACCGATGATATTCCTAATTGTAGTGGACTGGATTATGCTTCAGACTGTTGGAAGTGAGAAGACAGGAATACGCTACACTGGCAGATAAGAAGACTCCAGAAGATCTGGACTTCGTGGATGATTTATGTTTAATGTCATACAAACTCGAAGACTTAGAGGCGAAAACCAACAAACTGGCTGAAGAAGCAGACGGCGAATACTGAACTACAGGTAAACATAGAGAAGACGGAGGTGATAAAGGCACTCATGCACGAACAACAACAACAATCAGCACCAGTAACTGTCAACGAGGGAACTTTGAAAGAGGTTACTTCCTTCACTTATCTAGGAAGGATCGTCTCAATTACAGGTGGAACGGATGAAGATGTCGAAGCCAGAATCAGAAAGGCAACACAAACCCTCATCAATCTGAATTCAGTTTGGAGATCTGCACTCAACTCAGCATAAAGAAAATTCGGATTCTCAACACAAATGTGAAGTCAGTCACATCTTCTATATGTGTCAGAAACTTTCACTGTGAATCACAAGAAGCATTTCCAACAGGTTACAGACTTTTATCAATATCTGCCTTCGCTCCATACTGAAGATGAAATGGCCAGCTAGAAAGAGTTAGCAACAAGAAACTTTGAGAATGAACAAACCAAGAACCTACTGTTCAACAAATATTCTGAAGGAAGTGGAAATGCATCGGGCACACTCTGAAGAGACCGTTGTGTGACATCGTGCATCATACCATAACCCGAGTGAAACACGAATAGGAAACGACGAGTTAGACGTGGGTCCTAAGTTTGTAATGACAAAAGACAATGGCCAGACAACAGATCGTTTACTGAGAAAATCAAGATGTATTTTTATATACATTACTACTAGCGTTATTGTTAGCGGAGAGCAACCTCTTCTGATTGGTTGTTTACTTGCTGAAGGTTATTCTGTTTTCTCTTTGTGGCCGTTTCTCAGAAAATCAAGCCATTTATCTGCGAATCATATTTCCACACGTTAACTCCGCTGTGATTGGCTGGTGATTTTCTCAAGGTTACGCTTTGTCATTGTTTTTATCATGACCATGATTCGGCACGTGAACATTGACGTAAATTGTTGTCTACAATTTTGGCTTGCAGCCAGCTCTCACCGCAAGTTGACATGTAGATTATGAGAGGAGATGAGAGACTATGAAGAATAGTGGGAACAGCTGAAGAGGACTGCAGAGAGTAGAATAAAGGGAATATATGCTGTTATAAAGCCCCATGTTCCACTCAATCCAAGGAAACAATAATAATCAGACTAACATATCTAAATTCGCTAATTCGTTCTTCTTACACTAGGAGTTTCTTTGATATCCTCTGTTTTGTTACCAGACAACAGCAAAATTCAAGGAGATGAGTCTTTTTTTTCTATCCTCATGCAAAATAATTATTGTTTCGTTTATTTTACCTACTACTTATATAGGCTGCCAGGATCGGTCGGTTACGTGCATATCTAACCAATGATCTTAAATTGGCAGTTGAAAAACCACCAGTATTGTCTACCAGTGATACACCAAAATTGCCTAGTCCTGTAGAATTATTGGAGGCACTAGCACCTTATCATGTCCTCAATGATGCCGATAACACTGAAGAAGCTCTTAACAAAGGTTAGTTGTTTTGTTTTACAGTAATAATAATAATAGTTATGTGTACGTTGGTGCTTTCAGGGATAGAATTTTCTCCAGTCACGCACACGTGGCCCGGGGGTTCGATTCCCAGTTGACTGACTCCTCAACCTTGCCTAGTCAGTAGTAAATCGGGTAAAGATTGAGGATGCTTGGGTGTAAGGCTACCAACCCCATCCCTCAAAAAACAACTCCACAGCTACTGAAACTTCGAAGCTCAAGCTTGAAGCCTTATATTCCACCTAGAACGCCTAGTAGAAATAGTAATAAAGTTCTTGTTATGACGGAGTATTATTGATTTGTGGAGTCATCCAACTAGAATGCGCCTCCAGAACACGACACTTGAATCAGTTGATCTCTTAAAAGTATCCCCGACACTGAGATAGACACAAAAGTCAGACTGGGAAAAACGATGATGACGAACAACAACAACTGTGACAACATTTATTCTGCATTATGCTTACAAAACCTCAGGAATTTAAGCCATAAATAAACAAATCAAAAACTGATTAAAAATGCCCATTAAAATTTTCAAAAGAATGGTTGTTGAACAAAGAATATTCTTTTCGATAACCTCTCCTTCATCAGGTTCTACAGTTATATGTGCATTATAGTGAATGAATTAGTGTTATTAACAACATTAATGTTGTCTAAATAACATCGAATCAACAATAATAATAATATCAATGGATTACAGTTCGATAGCATCAACATAACAATACAAATTCATGAATTTATAGTCTCCACTGAAGGTCAGGTCAGTAGACGTGACTGCACTTGTTTCTTCTGCACACAAAGCACTGGTTGTTTCAGACGAATCGCGATAGCCTCTGCTGTTTGGAGTATGCGGTACCTGGATGTTTTTGGCAATTTGTTTGGTACCTAGTAGATGATACAGAAAGATTCTTCAATACTGGCTTTGGGGCCAGTTTGGACCAGGTCGTCCAATATCGAACTGTTAATGGTTTTTACTATACCTTTACTCAGCCACACTGGTAGATGTTCCCGATCACCTTTATTCTTTATGGTAATGATTCGGATAGTGAAACAGTAATAACTCAATTCAATGAAGTGCATTCTGATATGAAATTCACGTGCGAAGAGGAATCCCAAAATAGAATTGCCTTCCTAGATGTCCTTCTTACGAGAAAACCAGATGGTAGTATAAAGATAAATTTGCATAGGAAAAGCACATGGATAGGACAATATACACATTTTCATAGCCTCGTTCCTCTCCAATACAAAAGAAATTTAGTAAGGACGCTCAGCCACAGGGTTAGAGCTATATGCTCAGAAGAGGTAATTGAAAATGAACTAAGGATTGTATATGATACCTTGATTGAAAATAGCTATCCAGACAAATTCATGAGGAAATATATGACTAAGAAAGTTGAAAATGGCCATTCACTTTCCGCAAACAAGAAGTCTTTATACATACGACTGCACTTCAAGGGTGATATACCTAGTGAAATAATTACGAAGAAGTTTCAATGTTGGCAAACTACAAGTCTTATTTTCGACATGACCAAAGGTGATTCCTCCACTGAAAGATGAAGTAGCTAGAATAGCAACTTCTAATTGTATCTACCAATTCAACTAAGCTTGTGGAGAGAGTTATATTAGCCATTGCTGTAGGAACTTGCTTTTTCATGCTGGCTCACGAACATCTACCAGTGTGGTTAAATAAAGGTGTAGTGAGAAGCATCAATAGCTTGATATTAGAACACCTGGTCCAAACTGGCCACAAAGCTAATATTGAAGAGTCCTTCTTCATTATCTATCGGATACTAAACAAATTCCCAAAAACATCCAGGTACCGAATACTCCAAACAGCAGAGGTCGTTGTGATTCGTCTGAAACAACCGGTGCTCTGTGTGCAGAAGAAACAAGTGCAGTCACGTCTACTGACCTGGCCGCCTTCAGTGGAGACTATAAATTCATGAATTTGTATTTTTATTTTTCCTATTTTTTTCTGATATTCAGTGTATTGTTATGTTGATGCTATCGAACTGTAATCCGTTGATATTATTATTATTATTGATTCGATGTTATTTCGACAACATTAATGTTGTTATAACACTAATTCATTCACTATTATGTATGTATAACAGTAGAGCCTGATGATTGAAGTTATCGAAAAGAATATTCTTTGTTCAGTAACCATTCTTTTGAAAATCAAAAACTGTCCAATAAGGTTATTCTGTCAGTACATGCATAAATCACTCCACGGGTAACAAAGAACTTGTCCGTCGTAAAACCTCACTCTTTTTGTTACTTCTCGATTGGGGGGTGGGGGGAACACTGGAAGATGCTTTGTAGGTCTGTACACTGAGTCTATGATGGTTCTTTGTATCTCTTTTATAATGCTGTTTATGTATACAAAGCACTCAGTCAGTTTCACTCACTTCATACATACTAATAGAGAGAAACATTCCCTTTTGAATAACATAGATTTAAAGAAATACATAAGCTATACTGTTAAGTGGTTGTTTGTTTCTGAGAATTAACTGTTGCTTTACATCTATATAGCAATATTCTTGATAATTTAATCAGATAGGAAATGAAAACTAGTGAGGAAGTTATGACTGATGTCTTCTAGTCTCCAGCAAATCAGATTTATGATATGGAATCGTTAAAATAGCTTTGTCTGTTTGTTCTTTCTTAGTAGTGAATTTTCTTACACTTCAAAAAATCAATCAATAAATATATTTTCCAAGAGTTGATTTGTTTTTCGAGTTTCCTCATGGATTGATATCAGTTAGAGAACCATTGAAAACCTGTCACAGGGAGTACTGGACAGCTGTTTCATCCTAGTTTGGGAATCATCGGCGGTACACACCCACTGGGTGACTTACTACAGGACGGAGTTTCCTGAAGTTGTAGTGAGAAGTCATGACCAGTGAATTCCATCTAGTCGGGATTGAGGATGGAATTCCCACCGATGACATTGGTTGGTGGCCGCGCTGGTAGAATTCATAGGACTGGTCATTGAATCGGGTTTCAGTGGCTGAATGGTATACGAGCTTGTCTTGTAACTGGAAGGTCCTGGGTTCGAACCCCTGTAGTGGGTGGGTGAGTACTGCTGATAAGTCCCAAACTAGGATGAAACAGCTGTCCAGCATTCTCTGTAGCAGGTTTTCAATGGTTCTCTAACTCATATCAATCCGTGGTCAAACTCGAGAAATAACTTATATTTCTCTCAATAAAAATCACAGTTCAATAATATGTGTAGGATGTATAAAACGTCCTGTTTAGTGTAGTTTCATTCGATTCCATTTCTCTACTATTAGTATTGTGGTGTGTATGAACTTTAGCTCCTAGACTTGGTTATTTTTTCTGCAAATTTCAACCTTGATCAACCATTTAGGACGTGTAGATTTATGTGGTATCAATATAATTTTCTAGTATTTCATCATTGTTAGTAAGATATTTTGTGATACCAAAATATAATCGATTTGGGTAATCATTCATCAGATTCTGGCATTTGCAACATTCTCACACACACATGTATATGATAGTCGTCTACTCGATTAAGAGATGTATTCAAAAACTAAAAGTTAAGTTATTATTATTATATTATTATTGTTTCCTTTAATTCCTAGAGGAACATAGGGCTTCAGCCAACCACGTCTCCATTGCGTTCGGTTCTCTGCTAGAGTCTTTACCTGGCTCCAAGTCTGTCCACACGTTTTCATCTCCTCTTCACATGACCTCCTCCAAGTCACCCTTGGACGACCAACTCGCCGCTTCCCTTTCGGGTTCCACTCGAGCAATGGCTTGTCTAGTGATGTCACTTGATGGTTTCCTCAGAGTATGGCCAATCCATCTCCATTTCTTCCTACCTATTTGTTTCACAATCGGTTCCTGGTCGGTTGGTTCGCTCCCAGAGATCTCTGTTGCTGATCTTTTCTGGCTGGCCATCTGATCTTGAGTATTGAGCGAAGACAACTGTTAATGAAGGTCTGTAGTTTGTTTGAGATGCTCTTTATGACGCACTGGCCAAGTCTCTGATCCGTATAGTAGCACTGACTTCACATTGGAGTTGAAAATCCGGATCTTATTTTCGATGCTGAGTGTTGTTGACCTCCACACAGACTTGAGAGTAATGAAAGCTTGTCTTGCTTTTCCGATTCTTGCTTTGATATCCTCGTCAGTTCCGTCTGCCTGTATTTGAAACGATGCTTCCCAGGTAGGTAAAAGAGGTTGTTTCTTTCAGGTTCCTCCCATTTATGCTGATCATTGTCTGTTGTTGTTGTTCTTGTCCAGGAATCTTCATCACCTCTGTTTTCTCTATGTTCACCTGAAGTCCTATCTTTGATGCTTCTCCTGCCAACTTGTTGCTTTTCGCTTGCATATCTTCCAGTTTGTGGGAAATCAGACATATATCATCGGCGAAGTCCAGATCCTCCAAGTTTTTTGTCAGGTGTATTTTACTTCATTAATAAGTTCCATCCTGGCATTAATGAAAAGAACAAAGCAGGGTAGTTCAGTGAATTCATTCCTTCCCTCTTCAGCTGTACAATCGCATTTAGGCAAAGTTAAACTTTAAGCACCACCCACTACCAATCAGCAAATGACTTTGAACGCACCAATCACGTGGAGGAGACACTTTTGTGTATGAAAAATTGCATAAAAACTGTATAAAAGTGTTACAGAGGATAACTTCCTCTCACATGTGATAAAAATAGCTCTCAGTTTTACGTTGGAGTATCAACAGAGTATAATTCCATTGTGGGTGAACTTTATTTTTATAAAGTCTCAGTGTTATACAGTAATATTTACTGTAGAATAGATTAAGCTCGAAACGTCATCAGCAAATATTATTGTATAACACTGTGAGACTTTATCAAAATAAATTTTACTCACAATGGAATTACACCCTACCACAGTGCACAAGTTCTATTCTTATATCAACAGAGGAATTTAACCACATTCTGTGCATGTGGTCTTCTAACCCTAACAATAACCTTAATCTTTCCTGA